AGTCTTTCCTGCCCGGGCTGGCTTTGAACTGCAATCCTCAGATCTCAGCCTCCTGAGTAGCTAGGATTACAGGCGTGAGCCACCAGCGCCCGGCTAGGTATAATATTCTTGTTAGTGTTTTCTAAGATGATTTAGTTACCAAGAAGATGCTGATAAAATCTAGTAATTTCTTGGTCACCAGTTAAAGCAACAACTGGTCTTTTGCTCAAGGACTTAAGTTCAAGGATTTAAGATTCCTTTTATCTCCTAGCCAACAATGGTTTATTTTTAAACATCCTTAAATACCAGGTTTTTTTTTAATTAGGTTGTTATTATTATAAGTGATGTCTAATAAAGATAGTTTATTTTAAAAGATTAAGGAAATATATTTTAGAGAGAATATAAAATTTTAGTTCCTTCTCAAATTTTAGTCCCATTTCGACATGCTAATATTATGATACATTGTTTAAATTCGGAACTGTTTAGCAGACGGCAGTGCTGCATTTATGCCTGTAGTTCTAGCCACTAGTGAAACTGAGCAAGAGGATGGTTTGAGCCTAGCAGTTTAAGATCTGTCCTTACAAACAACCTCATCTGAGAATGGGGGGTGGAGAGGGGTTGTTAGGAAGGAAGCAGGGGTGGGAAGGTCAAGAAAAAAGAGGGGAGAGAAGAAATTTCTTTCTGGAATCTCAGTATTGATACCCCTAATAGTTTTTCCTGGTTATGAAGACTTTCAGAGTAGAAAATTCTCCTGCTAAAAAGAAGAAAATAAAAAACCAAGTATATTTGACTCTATTCTAATTAAAATGGCCTGTAATTAATTACTAGTTCTCTTTAAGGAAGCAATAGTATAAAACTCCACATACAACTTTGTCTTTAGTTTTTATAGATTTAGTTAAAGAGCAACAACTATTCTTTAGGCTTTCTAGCTGTATGCAATATATGTTATATACACATTGGTAGGGGTTGTGTTTGATTTTGTGCTGATACTGGGGCTTGAACTCAAGGTTGTTTCTTTCAGGCTGTGCCTTTCCATTTGAGCCACAGCTCCACATCTGCCTTTTTGTGTGTGTGTTTTAAACTGGTTAATTGGAGATAAGTCTTAGGGATGGTCCTACCCAGGCTTGCTTTGAATCACTGTTGTCAGATCTGAGCCTTCTAAGCAGGCAGGATTGCAGGAGTGAGACTGTTGCCTTGCTATGTGTTTTTCTCATATTCATGTATCTCAAATGAAATAGTTGAGGCAAAGAGAAAGTTCCCATGATAGAAACATTTCCTTAGGCCATTGAAAAAGATAAATGGGAATCTATCTGGGAATATGGCTTAGTGGTAGAGTGCTTGACTAGTATGCATGAGGCCATGGATTTGATTCCTTAGAACCATATAAACAGAAAAGGCTGGAAGTGGCACTGTGGCTCAAGTGGTAGAATGCTAGCCTTGAGCAAAAGAAGCTCAGGGATAGTGCCCAGGCCCTGAGTTCAAACCCCAGGACTGGCACACACACACACAAACACACACACACTTCCAAAAATAGATGATTATTAGAATAATTATTTTGAATTGTTCCTTTAGTCTTCACTGACCTGGTAATGTTTGAGCATTATGTTTTAGATTGATTTGGCTTTCTTCTGCTTTCTGATATGAAGGAGAAGGTTTCAAATACCTCTGAAGGCATATGTATTAAAAGATTAGACCCTAAGTAAGGCACTGCAAATATTCTTTAGATTAACATTCATATATTGTTAATGATAGATAACTTTCACTTTCCTTCTGTGTTTTGCCAAAAAAAAAATCTTCTGTCTATGCCACAAGTTTAGACTATTGGAGTCTAAACTTGATGCTAACAACTTTAATGGGGAAATTAAGGACATTGAAGTTGCTAGCAAAGATACAGTTAAGTGAGTAGGGTTGTGGTTCCAACTGAAGAGTCTGCTTCCGTTTCCATGTGCTAATTTTAGAGGAATAGATAACAGTGAGTCATTCTTTGTGGGGAGTAGCAGGGAAACTGGGAAACAATTACAATTTTAAATCTTGATTCCTGGAAGCATGTCTTTTGGGAGTCCTTACTACATACTTGCATGCTTCCAGCTCTACCTAGCAGTTTTCTTGGTATAAATTATTTGTTTGTTTACTTATATCAGTGGTTTGTTGCCTTGGTGCCAAGTGAAAATTAGAAGTTTAGAAGTAACTTTGTATTTCACATTTCTTATTTCTAATCTTATTGCCATTAATACTGGAAGCATTTATCTATAGGATTATTGGTTTGTTTTTGGCTGATACTAGGGATTGAACCCTGCCTGTGCTTGCTAAGGCATCCTACCACTGGAGCCATAACCCAGTGAAAATCAGTGTATTTTTTAAGTTAATGTATTTTTCTTTTGAAGACTGAGCACTATTTGTTTCTTGCTATTTTGTATTCTTTTAATCTCTGTATGCCATTTTATGATAATACATAATTTGATCAGGACTTTTTTGTTGTTGTTGTTGTTTTGGGTCCGGTCGTGGGGCCTGAACTCTGGGCCTGGGCGCTGTCCCTCAGCTCTTCAGCTCAAGGCTAGGGCTCTACCACTTGAGCCACAGCGCCACTTCCGGCTTTTTTCTTTTTGTTTATGTGGTGCTGAGGAATCGAACCCAGGGCCTCAGGCATGCAAGGCAAGCGTTCTACCACTGAGCCACTTTCCCAGCCCCTGATCAGGACTTTTTTTAAAGGTTGTATATAATTATTTTAAAACCTATAGCCAATACTAGATAAGCCATTTCTTACTTTATTTCTGTGGTTGTAGCTACAAACTAAAACAGCAGTCAGGATGTGAATAACTATCATCTTTGTTTTTCAATTTTTTTGGGTGGGGGGGAGTGGTGGTCATGGGGCTTGAACTCTAGGCCTGGGCACTGTTCTTGAGCTCTTCAGCTCAAGGTGAGTGCTCTACCACTTGAGCCACAGCACCACTTCAGGTTTTCTGGTGGTTAATTGGAGATGAGTCCATAATCCTCAGGTCTCAGCCTCCAGAGTTGGTAGAATTTTAGATGTGACGACTGGCACCCAGCTTGTTTTCAATTTTTTTTTCTTGATGACATTGTCATAAACGTTTGTGATTTATTTCTCAATGAATTTAAACATTTCTTCAATTTGAAACATAGTCTTAACATCTTTCATTCTGTGATAAATTGATGGCCAGGTGAGAAGCTACGAGTCCTTGGTTACAACCAGAATGGCGAGTGGAGTGAAGTTCGCTCTAAGAATGGACAGGGTTGGGTGCCAAGCAACTATATTACCCCAGTGAACAGCCTAGAAAAACATTCCTGGTACCATGGACCTGTGTCACGCAGCGCAGCAGAGTATCTTCTCAGCAGCCTCATCAATGGCAGTTTCCTGGTGCGAGAAAGTGAGAGCAGCCCTGGGCAGCTGTCCATCTCGCTCAGGTATGAGGGGCGTGTGTATCACTACAGGATCAACACCACCACAGATGGCAAGGTAAGAGCTGCCAGTAGCTACCTCCAGATGTGGCCTGGCTCCTTTGTAGAACAAATACTCAGAATAACTAAAGTGGGAAGCACTTTTTATGTCTGACATGAAATAATTTGCTAATTTTGTGAGTTAGAGCTTACACTTCTCAAAACAGTTTATTAATGCTAATTAGAAGTACTTATTAATAATTAGTATATTAAGAGTATGTGGATAAGATAGATTTAAAGGTGAAAATTGAAGTCTGTTGTATAAGTTCTCCCAATCATGAACATAGAAATGTACACTCAGTACTTTGATGTAAGGCTGGAGGCATGGCTAAGTTGAATTGTTCAAGATCTAGCTAGGAAGCAAAAGTGTCAGCTACCAAGTTTGAGTCCTGGTCTCTAACCAAAATAGAAAAATAACCAATACATTAATATAAAATTTATAAAATGTATTTTTAAGAATTAGAATCACCTCTACTAGAAGGTCCACAGAGAAAGAATTTAGACTTCTGAGACTGGTGTGCATTGCTAATCTCTGTCAGTATAAATAGATAATTCTGTTATCTAGCAGTGTGCATATTAGGAAAACCAAGCATGTGAGATGGATTATTGGAATAAACTGCTGTGTTTTATAAATTATAAAGCCTGAGCTTAAGTGAGGTCTTCTATTTAGGTTGAATCCTTTTTTTTTTTTTAATCTTTCTATTTTTTTCTTCTTTATATGATATACATAGTAGGGGGAGGGCCTGGGTTTTAAAGCCAGCAAACCCAGTTTGCTTTTTAAGTACACAATTAAATTTCTGGCCTTCCGTAAACCTCAATTTCCCTGTCTGTTATTAAATCCTACCTTAAAAGATTGTTGTTGGGATTAAATGAATAATTTTGTAAAATGTAGCTTCTATGAAGTAGGTGACAATGAGTGACAATGAATCACACCTAGCTACTCAGGAGGCTGAAATCTGAGGATTGGTGTTTTAATCCAGCCCTGCCAGAAAAGTCCATAAGACTCTTAATCTCCAATTATCCATCTAAAAATAAAAAAGCCAGAAGTAGTGCTGTGGCTCAAGTGGTAGAGCACTAGCTTTGAGCAAAAAAGCTGAGAAACATTGCCCAGGCCCTGAGTTCAAGCCTCAGGACCTGTACTTCTCCTCCCAACACCCCCCACCCCCAAATACTAGTCTCTTTTTAAATTATTTGTTGTTGTTTTTTTCCTCAGGTATATGTGACTGCTGAGAGCCGCTTTAGCACCCTGGCAGAGCTTGTTCATCACCATTCCACAGTGGCTGATGGGCTAGTGACAACATTACACTATCCAGCCCCCAAGTGTAATAAGCCAACAGTCTATGGTGTGTCCCCCATCCATGACAAATGGGAAATGGAACGGACAGATATTACTATGAAGCACAAACTTGGAGGTGGTCAGTATGGAGAGGTTTACGTTGGTGTCTGGAAGAAATATAGTCTGACAGTTGCTGTGAAAACATTAAAGGTGGGTTGCTAAAAATTAGTTTTCAGGCATCTTTTTTGTGTGTGTGCTGAATCACTTGGAAATAACAGCATGCCCTTCTTTAACTTTGGAACTCTTCCACCCACTGGTGCCAAACACTTCTACAAATTGTGGTGATTAACTTTAGCACCATTGCTGACAATACAGGGGCAGATTATTCACTGCAGTGCAGTGAGACCCACGTGTGGGAGAGATTGGTTTTTAGAAGCTGTTGATGTACATTTTAGTAGGAGTTTAGAAGAAAATTGTAAGTTATTAAAGCAAATCAGGCTATTTTGAGAAGGACCCCTGCTAGTCAGAATTCATGCATTATCTAAGAATCATGATGTTCCTTACTCTATTCTTTATCTCCCTTATATGCAATTAGATCCCCCACACACACCCTCCTTTTTGGGAGGAGTTGTGGTTTTTGGAGACATTATACTAAGAATCCCAGACTAGACTTGAATTCCTAACTTATATGCTTTGTCCTCCAGAATTGCTAGCTCACTTCTGTTCTAAAATCCACAGAAATCTTTTTCCAGATATTATCCTTTCTCCTCTTTAAATATTACAGTAGATAATTACAGGGTTATCTAGCATTTGTTGTTTCTGAAGCCCTGCATATCCCTCACACGGGCTAGTCTTCAGTTTTGAGTAGTGGTCAGTTCTGTTTATTAAGTATATCCTACATTTCAAGCAATGTGTGATGCTTGCAAACATGCATTGCTCCATAAGAAATGTGTGGTCAAACAGGAAGATAAAACTATAAACAACTGGGCTGGGAAGGTGGCTCAGTGGTAGAGCACTTGCCTTACATGCCTGAGGCCCTGGGTTCGCTTCCTCAGCACCACATAAGCAAAACGAAAAAAGCCGGAAGTGGCGCTGTGACTCAAGTGGTAGAGCACTAACCTTGAGCTGAAGAGCTGAGGGACAGCGCCCAGGCCCAGAGTTCAGGCCCCATGACTGGACCCAAAACAAACAAACAAAAAACTATAAACAGCTAATTATATTGTCTCTTTATTCAAATATTAAAGTATCTATAGAAGTCAACTGTCAGAAAACTGAATTATCCAATTAAAGTTTCCCATGCTTCAGTTGTGATTGCAGGACATAATCGTTAAGTTTTCTAGCCCTACTAATTTTTACTTCAATTTCTTATATTGTATAAGTTTAAGTATATTATTCTTACTTGAGTTTCCATAAAAAATATTAGATTGGGGCTGGGAAGTTGGCTCAGTGGTAGAGCGCTTGCCTTGCATGCCTGAGGCCCTGGGTTCGATTCCTCAGCACCACATAAGCAAAAAGAAAAAAGCCAGAAGTGGTGCTGTGACTCAAGTGGTAGAGTGCTAGCTGAAGAGCTGAAGGACAGCGCTCAGGCCCAGAGTTCAGGCCCCATGTCTGGACCAAAAAAAAAAAAAAAATACTAGATTGTAATAAGCTTTCTTAAATTAATATCTTCAAAAGCTATTCCTTTTATCTTTGAAACTGAAGATGTGTGAGTTGACTCAATTTAGATGGAAATTTGTCTCCTCTTTTTTCCCAATTCCCCCTTTTTAGGAAGACACCATGGAAGTAGAAGAGTTCCTAAAAGAAGCTGCAGTGATGAAGGAAATCAAGCATCCTAATCTGGTACAACTATTAGGTGAGAAAGCCTAAACCATAGCTTTCCTTCCTCAGATATTTGCTATGTCCCCCATCCCCTTCAGTTGCTTTTTCTATTGAGAGAGAGAAAAAGAGAGAGAAAGAAAAAGAACCCAAGCAATAAAGAAAACTAACTTTAATTATTTTGGGCATTACTAGGATTTGAGATCTAGGGATGTGCTCTAACACTTGAACCATGATCCCAGTCCTTCAAATCTTTTTTTAAATCACTATGTTGAAAGCTCCAAGTGTGAATTTACTTTTACAAATTATTATAATAAGCTGGAGATACAGATCTATAGATCAGTGGTAACATATTTGTTATCATGTATGAGTCCTTATACAATCAAAGCCATTGTTTTCATCAGTAGGTTCTGTGTTTAAAACAAAAGAATAGGGGCTGAAGGTGGCTCAGTGGTAGAGCACTTGCCTTGCATGCCTGAGGCCCTCGGTTCGATTCCTCAGCACCACATAAGCAAAAAGAAAAAAGCCGGAAGTGGGGCTGTGGCTCAAGTGGTAGAGCACTAGCCTTGAGCTGAAGAGCTGAGGGACAGCGCCCAGGCCCAGAGTTCAAGCCCCACGACTGGACCCCCCCCCCAAAAAAAATAATAATAGTGGTTTGAATTGATTTCAATATGTATAAAGCTGTGCACCTTACAGGTATCACAGATTCTGAATTCAGAACAATTTAACAAGGTACTGTAGTAATAACTGTCAAGTACTTTAACAAAATAGAAACATTAAATAAAAAGCTATTGAAAAGAAGCAGATTAAACATTGGGATCACATATATCAGCTTACCTAAAGAAACTTTTGAATAAATCTTTTTCATTTTTCAAGTTGGGGAATTATCTTGGTTCAAACTGAGCTATTTACCCAAAGGAAATGAGTTCTTGTTTTTCTTAATAAGGAGTCTGCCTTTATCAGATCATTTCACTGATTACAATATTTTTACAAAAGATTAGAACACAGTGCTTGTACAGGACTCTTGAAATTTGGCCCTCTTAGCCCATTTGAATTATGAATTTCTTGACAGACATCTTTTTATATATTTCTATGTTAATTGCAGAAAATGTGGTGATAATAATATGGAAGATTACTGTCAAAATGGAACTAAAATATTTTTGAATGACTGGCCTGAGTGGCTGAATATATTTCTTCCTTTTTTAAGAGAAGTCAGCCGGGTGCTGGTGGTTCATGCCTATAATCCTAGCTACTCAGGAGGCTTCGATCTGAGGATCCAGTTAAAAGCCAGCCTGGGCAGGAAAAGCTGTGAAACTCGAATAAACCACCAGAAAACTGGAAGTGGCTCTGTGGCTCAAGTGGTAGAGCGCTAGCCTTGAGCTGAAGAGCTGAGGGACAGTGCTCAGGCCCAGAGTTCAAGCTCATGATTGACTCCCCCCCACAAAAAAAAATTCTACAAGTCAGTTTATTTTTGTTTATGTGGGACTAAGGAATTGAACCTAAGCCCTCATGTATGCTAGGCAAGCACTCTACCACTAAGCCATATTCCCAGCCCTGAGTGTATTTCTCATAAATGAGTTCTATCCTTCATCTGTCAGGTGTGTGCACTTTGGAGCCACCATTTTACATAGTGACTGAATACATGCCATATGGAAATCTGCTTGATTATCTTCGAGAATGCAACCGAGAAGAAGTGACTGCAGTTGTACTTCTTTACATGGCCACTCAGATTTCTTCTGCAATGGAGTATTTAGAGAAGAAGAATTTCATCCATAGGTAGGTAAAACCTGGCTATTGCCTGAGATTAATCAGGACAGCATTTTTGCTTGGTACGATGATAAAAGTAAAAGTTGCAGATGGTTTGATTTGTTCTTTCTTTCACAGAACCTGTTATATCATTTCCAACTTGTAAACCTTAAATTGTCAAAACAGGCTTTGTTCAGCACTATATCCATGATCCAATTGCTCCATCTAGTGGCTGGTTTTTAAAAACGTCAACTGTCTTAGAAGAGTAAAGTTTATAGAGGAAAAAAATCTGTAGTCTAAGAGTAAAGTTTATAGAGGAAAAAAATCTGTAGTCTACTATAACCTATCTTGATATGCTTATAAAGACAAATGCATTTGGTCTTCGAACTCCTTTTTGGTAAATACCATACAAGTGATATAAATTAGGCTTTCTATCATGTTAGTGAACATCATAAAATACTTAGTCCTTTCTTACCAACTCTGATTATAGCACAAAGAACCAATAACAAAGCAAGCATTCATGGTCATTTTTCTCATATCTGAATGGGTCCTGTTTCTCACAGAGATCTTGCAGCACGTAACTGCCTAGTGGGAGAAAACCATGTGGTTAAAGTAGCTGACTTTGGCTTAAGTAGACTGATGACTGGAGATACCTATACTGCTCATGCTGGAGCCAAATTTCCAATTAAGTGGACAGCACCGGAGAGTCTTGCCTATAATACCTTCTCAATTAAATCAGATGTCTGGGGTAAGGTTGGCATGTTTTTCTTGATATGTTATTTTATTTTCCTCACAACTAATCTCAGTTCTTTAGAGAGCCTGCTTGTCTCCCTCTCTCCCTCTCTCCCTTTCTCCTTTCTTCCTTCCCTCTTTCCCTTCCTCCCTCTGTCTCCCTCCCTGTTATTTCTCTCCTCTCCTCTTGTGTTACCTGTACCATGTCTTGATTGCAGGGTCAGGCCCTCGTGGACGTGCTTGCTCACAGCTGATGTTCTACCATTTGAGCCATGTCTTCAGTCTGACATTTTGCTGGTTAATTGTATACATAATCTCTTGGACTTTTCTGCCCAGGCTGGCTTTGAACCTTAATACTTTGATCTCAGCCTCCGGTGTTGCTAGGCTTACTCACATGAGCCATTAGTATGTGGATTAGAGCTTCTCTTTTATATGATACTGAAAACAGAAGTTCTTTCCCTCTTCCCCCCTCAAAAAAATAATGCTGGGCATGACTGCATTCATATAACTCTAGCATTTTGCAGGCTGAGGAAGGAGAATCTCAAGTTTGAAGGCAGCCTACGCTACATAGCAAAACACTATCTCAAAAAAATCAAGCTGTGCAGTTCAGCAATAGCATACTTGCCTAGCATACAAAATGACCTAGATTAAATCCAGAAAAAGGAGAAAGTACTAGAACTAGATGCAGTATTACATGTCTATACTTCTATTTTATAAGCTGAACTGGGAAGATTGCTTAAACCCAGGAGTTTGAAACCCACTAGGGCAACATTGTAAGAGCCTCCCCTCCCTTTCTCCCTATCAAAAAAAGAAAAAGAAAAATAATGCCTTCAAAGGTATTATAATGTATTTCTCATCTTGCTTTGCAGTTTTAATAGTGCTTTGTCAAAAGCCATGATAAAGTTGTTTTTTTTTCTAGAATTTTGCCTTGTTTCTACTCCATGAGAAATAGAATGACTTGGTAAGGGCCTAATAGTTTGAACAAGCTGATACTTGGATTGTGAGCCATAGAAATAGTTAAAGGATTCTGAGTCAACTTCTTACATGAGTGTGTGTGTGTGTGTGTGTGTGTTTGTGTGTGTGTGTGTGTGTGTGTGTGTGTGTTTATGTGTATGTTGGTCCTTTGGGTAGAACTCAGGCCTGGGCACTGTCCCTGAGCTTTTTTGCTCAAGGCTCTATCACTTGAGCCATAGATCCACCTCCAACTTGTTTTTGGTGGTTAAGGTTGATTGGAGATAATAGTCTCAAGGGCTTTCCTTGCTGAGCTAGCTTAAAGCCATGATTCTAAGATATCAGCCTCCTGAATAGCTATGATTATAAGTAGGAGCCACCACCTAGCCTGTCATTTTTTTTGGGGGGGGGGATCCAGTCATGGGGCCTGAACTCTGGGCCTGGGCGCTGTCCCTCAGCTCTTCAGCTCAAGGCTAGCGCTCTACCACTTGAGCCACAGCACCACTTCCA